GGACCAGTGACCACACACGCCTGTGCCAGGGCCGCTTCCACGGGCTGGCCACCGCCTCGGCCCCGCTCACCAGCGCCCCCTGCTGGATGGCAAGGGAAGTGGCACTTCCTGCCCAAACACAGGTCCGAGAGCCGCCACAGGAAGCAGCCCAGGCCCGGGCTCTTGATTCCACGTGCTACAGAGGTACAGAGCGGGCCTGCCCCAAGTCAGGTGGCACAGGCTCGAGCAGGAAGAGCCAGTGGGGCTACACCGTTCCGGACTCTGGGTCTGGGCGCCTTTTCCACTGAACTCGGACCAGCTACCTATGAAACTCACCCCTGCCCTCAGAGGTGTAGCCAGGCAGCAGCTCCCAGCTCAGCGGGCCCATCGCAGCTCTGGGGCCGGCCACGGCCACACCTCTCCCAACACATCTCCTCAAGGATCCAGTGAAAATCTAAATCCAGGGTCATCGTGCCGTCAGCAGTTCAGTGGGCCAGGGCCTTCTGAGGCTCTGTCAGGCCATGGACTTTCCCAGCTTTAGTCACACATGTGAACTCAGACCCTAAGTGCTGAGTTGTACGGGCACCTTGCCAAGAGCCAGGACTTTGCTCCGGCCCCTCCCCAGGTGAAGGGCCACATAGGGCGGTGTCTGCAGGACTTGCGAGACGTGTCCCCTGGGTCCCAAGTCTAAACTGATCCTCCTGGTTTCACTTTGAACCTGTCTGTACAGCCTGGGGCCTGTGCCTGTGGTCCTCTCCCACCCTGCCCTCTGTCCACGTCCCCTAGGAAGCCCCAAGCTGCCCCCTCCTCATCTACTCCCAGATGGGCCCTTCTTCCACCAAGGAGGTGCCAGTGGACGCCAGGTCAGGACCTCTGTGACTGATTAATCACCAATTACTGTGATTTATAATAAACTTCATGCCCCACACTGTCCCACTCCATAATCAGGACCCCCTTCCGCTCCCTCCCCCAGGGCCACAGCTCCCCACTGCGCCCCAGCATGCACGTGTGCGGGGCTGTGTGGTCCTGCCTGGCAGTGGGACGCTGTGGCCCAGCTGTCCTTCAGTAGCCCAGCGTGTCCATGAGCCTGCTGTTGACTCCCTCAACACCTCCTATCCTATCACAGATTGGAAAGGAGTTTTATTCTGAGAACTCTATTTAAAAAACAAGAAAAGATTTTATCTATTTGAGATAGAACAAGCATGAGCAGGAGGGCAGAGGGAGAGGGAGAAGCCAACTCCAGGATCATGACCTGAGCCAAAGGCAGACGCTTCACTGACTGAGCCACCGAAGCAACCCGAGAACTCTATTTTTGAGAATAGTATTTATCAAAACATCTTATCACTCAGTAAGTAGTTCACAGGAGATTTAATGGGTACCTCCTCAGAGAATGAGAGATGCCTGGAGGGTGTCGTGAAGCAGTGGTTCTGGTCCCGAGACCCCAGAGCCACAGTCACAGGGGCGGGGCGGGGTGGGGGCTGACCTCCCAGGGCACATTCCAGCTCAGGGCCCAGGGTACAAGGCGAACATAGCCCCATGGCCTCTCTCTGGAGCTGCTTTTGTAAGGTATGTGAGGGGGTCTTAGGGAGGAGGTGGATGCCAGCTCTGCCCTCAGAGCTGAGGCCTGCAGAGGTGTTCAGTAAACCCCCCTGTGTTCTGGGACCAACCTCACAGAAACTGGGGATCTCAGACCTTCCCCAAAACAGCCCTCCTTCCAGCTGAGAACCCCACTTTGCTGCTCCTTCACAGGTTGGTACATGAGGCCAATTCAAGATGAGCAGGCACCTTGAGAAGGCACTTCAGTGCAGCCAAGATACCAAGACACCGTGCCCCGTTCAGGCCAGAGCCTTGCTTAGGCCCCGCTGTGGCCACCCGGGCTGCACGGTCATCACCTGCATCAAGGTGCGCCCACTACACTCAGCTGCAGCCATGGAGATATGGACTCAAAAGAGAGTAAGGCTCATTCACAGCCACAACTGGATCCTTGTCTGGTTTGTTCTCCCCTTGATCCCAAAGTTCTCATCTTTTGTCAAGACTGTATGCTCTGGGGTGAAGCCACTCCAAACCATCATGAACTAATGAACATCATGGTATCTTAAATCTCTTCACTCTGTCCCCATCAGCAGAAAAAACTCAAGCCCCAATATGCAGGCATCTAGAAACACTGGTCCCATGAGCGCCTCTGAAATCTAGACAAGATACAAATATCCCTTACATCAGGCCCCAAATTGTGGTCTGTAAAATAAGGGTCAGGGCAATTACAAAAACACTGGAGTTAGGAGAGCAGCCATGAAGCAACTGTCCCCCATTCCCCAGAAAGCAAAGGGGACTTTGCTTGCAATTATTAGTTATGAAGAACTGTCATTCATCCATTGAACCACCAGGCCAGGGCCCCTCGGAAGCTGGGGTGGAGGCCGGCACCTGCCAGGCACATGTTCATAGCCTTTCTGTGCCGAAAGTCCCAGCTCCCGTCAAGTCATCCCTGTGAAGACATATCACAACAGATATAACCACCTTTGCTGACCCTTGCTCTACCGGCACTGGGGGAAGGACACAGAGAAACTGGTCTTGACCTTAAAGAATTCATATTCTAGCTGAGGGAGCCCCAAATAGGAGATGAGAAAACACACCCTCAAATGCAAC